CTCTCTCTCTCTCTCTCTCTCTCTCTCTCTCTCTCTCTCTCTCTCTCTCTCTCTCTCTCATGCATTTGCACCCAATCGCAGCAAGATAAAAATGACACTCAGACAACCTAGAAGATGTTCCAAGACACTACAGCAATACAGCTATTTGGAAAGCAATATTTCATGGTCATAAGAACAAATCCAACACATGACTACATCAAAACACGAACTCAACATGACATACATAGTACTTAACAAACTAAAAATCCAATATTAAAACAACAGTTGACTAACAAGAAGAAAACTAAGCAATGCCAAGATGATCCCTCCACATTTTCATTGCCATTTCATCTCGAAATTTTGCCCAATCACCCATCTCCCTCTGACTCCTCCTAAATGTCTCTGATTGAGGAAGTCTCGTCCTCATCACGTCCTTCCACATCGACAATTCCTCCAATTTCTTGTACTTCACCATCAACTTCCATGTTGAAATTATGCAACATAAACAGCAATGACTATGTTCACTTGGGTCCTAATTGGATAATTGGTGGCAACCTTCAAGGGAACCATGCTTCGAGGACACCAAAGGCACGTTCAATGGCATTTCGAAGTGAAGCATGTGTTTTGTTGAAAAATTCCTTATTAGTCTTGAGGATTCTGACTACCATGATTGAAATCATTCCTATGGTAACGTGTATGGCGGTACGAAGAGAGAAATTCTTGAATATTTGGGTAGCCAGAATCGACTAAGTAATATTTTCCTATAAAACAATTAGCCTATGTTAATCATCTCAAGTATATGTAGTGTTGAATATATATAAAAGAGTATAATGTTTACCAGGGGGCACAGGAAGAGGGTACGCACATGTGAGTGAATATTGAAGAATAAGAATTCGATGCCGAACCTTCCTAGCCCTCAAGGACATATTGGAATTTTCAATTGAAGGAACAAACACCCATAACATTTTGTGATGTGATGCCCTTGTGATTCCGATATTTACCTTGAAGATAATGACTAATAAGAGCGGGGATGTGGGTGCCGTCAATGGCCCCAATACAGTCCTACATAGACCAAAATTTCAATCAATGACCAAATAAGAAACTAACTAACAATTGAAAATTTGGAATGAAATGAGTAGAACTTTGGAATTGCAAAGTGCAAACTACCTTGAAGTATTCTCAAAACCTCTCATCTCCACTTATTTCTGATTGTGTAGCCAATTGTGGGCAGTGGATGTAATCACGGTGGAGTCTTAGAATTGCATTCAGCACGCGATTGAAGTGTCGGCTGACAGTCTCCCCTGAGCACCCAAATTCATGACCTATCTTGCCATTCTTCAAGTTGTGACTAATTGTGTGCAAGAATGTAACCAATTGTTCATCTAGAGATAACCAATAGCATCCCTAAGTTGCAAGTAGGTAGCTCGACTCATTCTTATTTGGTTACGACAACTCACTTCATCCGTATGGATTATGAAGAAATGGAAGTTAGCGCCTAATGCTTTTCGATTGCAACCCCTGTTTCTATGAAAAGCAGTAGCTAGAACTGTGGCAACTGCACTTAAACTGGTCACATATACAGCATAAATTACCACCATCCTCTTAATTCTTTCGAGGTCAGTTGTGTCTCTCCGTTGGTTAGTCATTGTAGATGTGAACTTGATGGATCTAAGTCAACGACCAAACGTTGCTATAGTTGAGATTAAAGTTAAAAGTAATTTTATGTTCATTCTTGGTAATTGTATCACAAATCAGCACAAGAACTATTTAACGCTATAGGCCTATAGCTAAGGAAGACAAGAACAGACGAACGACTCTATTGTCCCACTCCATTAAACAGATATAAAGCAATTGACAACCTCTTAAACGAGAAAACTCAACCAACCTATAACACTTGTATAACGACACATGCTAGTAAAGTGGTAATATGCAAGTCAGTGGCAGCCAATCGATCATATCCTCACGTTGATAAAAGGAGCATGTGGGGTGCATGCATTAATTATGCAAATCTTGGCTATACTCTCTTTATCCTAAGCAAGCTTAAACTGTCAAAAACGTTTAAACTTTTACTCAGAGAACTTGATTATGAAGTTATGCCAAAAGAGCTATAATTAAATCAGAACTAAACCTTAAGAAATATAACTTGATAAATTTTTGCAACTTAGATATACTTGAATTGTTTAATATCTGCATTTTTATATATTTCTTCGGTACTAAGTACTGCAAAATGCACATAAATGCAAGAAATAGATCTTCCCCACCAAGAAATACTCAAAGCTAATAATGCTACCACAATTATTTCGAACCCAAACTATATGACCCTCACAAACTTAGCTTGAGGACTGAAGACAAGCAAAAGTCCCACACAAGAAACCTAAACATTGACACTATTCACCTCAGGTTCTCAATACAAATGTAATGGATAACAAATGTACCAAAATGAAGTACCATGATTTTTATGCCAAACACAAAAGTTTGGATGTTTCAGAAGTTGTATATTGTTGGTTCATAGTGTTGTAGAAAAATCTCAACCACCACTGTGCTCTAGTAATAAAAGAAGAAAAACACAACCAAAGGAAATGGAAATGGAAATGGATGATTGAGGGTATTGTCCCTAAGTCCACATCATATTCATTTCTCTGTCGAAGCATACATGCAGATTAGGCTGGCTTCCCAACGGACGGAAATCTGACCGCAGGGCATTGCGTCATGATTGGAGTTAACTCACACGGAAGGGCAAGAAACAATTCGTGTCTCAATATCAAAGTGCCATGGCTCATGTATAGAGCAACGGCCTTAATCACAAGTAAATAGGTGTGCCTCAAGCGTGTATGGCAATAAATAGTCATCCATCTGATTTTATCTAGTCAACTTTGCGATGAATGTAGAATAAAAATGAATTTTTATTTGTCAAGAAAAGGTAATAATGAAGGTTTTATGGAGACATTATATCAAGATTAAGTTTCAGATCAGAACATCCTGTGCTCATTTCACTGTTAACACTTACAAGTTAAAAAAGTATAAAGTATCATATTAGTTTACATAGATCTTGATGAGGGTCATGGCAAAATAAGGTCTGAGGTCTTCTGGGTGTATAAAGTATAATTAATATTAAAACTGAAAACAAAATCAGTCAAGAACGCACAAGCACTACCACTATGGGAAAAAACCATGAAGGGACAAGGGACAAAAAAAAGCACTACCACTATGGGAAAAAAACATGAAGGGACAAAGGGGAAAAAAAAACCCAAAAATGTGATGTAACAAGGAGATAGAAACTAACACATTTAACATTTAGGAGGTTAAATATTTAACCTAACACTAGCAAAGAATTTAAAGAAAAAACTAGAGATATGCAAAGAGGAAAGAACACAGTATCTTTACATGTATATGCTCAAGGTTCCGTCAGGTTTGGCCAAGACCTTAGTATTGGATCCAAAATCAGCAACATCTCACTGACATTTGAACCTCAACACATAATTGCACCTTATTCATCTTAATGTATCATTTTCAGAGTGTATGTGCACTGAATTTCATAAATTTTTCTGATGAAAACAGCCCCACAATTGAAATTGGAAGTTGAAGAGAAGGGCATTACTCTAGAAATTTGAATTTGCTCTCAGAGAAATTGAAAAAACCCCAAAGAAATTGACGGTGTGATTTAGGGAGAGAATGAAGAATGATGGATAGAGTGCGTGAGAGAGGAAAATAGAGAGAGATGAATCTACCTCTATAGGAGGAGGTGTGGGCTAGCTTGGAGGGCGACCAGGAGGTTTCACACAGGGGAACTGCGAGCCTGTTGCGGACTTGTTCAAAACAACTTACCCCAAAAGTTTAAATTCCATCGTTTAAATTCCAGCTAAATTTTAACATTTCCACTTATCTAGCTTAAAAAGCATAAATGTGAATGAATCCCAATGTCAGAGTGCATCTTTTTTTTTCGTTTTTTTTTTTTAAATGTAACTCATTGAAAATCTGAATCCGGAGAACCAAAAGTAAGATTTAAGAACCCCATTGTTGGAGGAAATAAAATAGGCCAGTACAAACCCTACTGGAACAAATAAAATATAAATGGACACGGCTTCTATACGACCAACCCCGATATTATAGAAACTAGGAATATGTACGTGTGTTATACGTGATATTTAATATTAATTTTTAAAACATGTTTATCATTAAAAAATATTTTAAATAAAATATGATCTTATATATTCTTGATTTTATCTTCATAATTAAATATTTTTGTTAAATAATTATAATTTTTAAAAATTATGAAAGAAATAAATAATTTAAATATACTATTTGTGACAAAATAAGATTGCAGGTAGACTAAAAAATAAATTTATCTTTAAAATTGAATATTCTATCAAATAATTATAAATTTGATACAGTATTTTGAAAGTATTTAACTAATTCATATCCATTTGGCATAAATTAAAAAAATTAAATAATTCAAATTGCATTAATAAAAGTGATAGAGAATTAAGTTATATAAATAATAGTCGGAGAAAAATTAATATAGGGTCTTTTAAATGCCAATATCAAATATAATAGTTCTTTAAAACATAAGGTATTGCTAATATCTATATCCAATGTATTAGGCTATTAAGGCATACTTCAAAAGCATTAGCCTTGTTATAAAAAAAAAAAAATGATATGAACCTATATACATTGGTAAATACCGAATTTCAAAAAGAAAATTTTTAAATCCTTATACTTAAAGTATTAATAATATTTAATCATCTATGTTGCGAAATATAATTCTTATTAAATATTAAATAGAATAATTTGTTTGCTAATTCTTCTATATATAATATTATGTTGCCTATTAAATAATGGGAAAAGTTTATATAAGGTTGCAACCTTAAAATGTAGAATTACATATGCACCTCAAAAATCTATCGGAAATGTTGTTTTAATGCTGGAAAACCCTCTATTTGATCATCTCGACATCGAGATGTATGAATATAAAAAAAAAAAAAAATTTAAGTCTCAAAAATAGTGCATCTTGCAACACATTATCTAGACTGTTCATATTCAAGCTTTTCATATGTTTATAGATCTCCTTGATTTTAAGCATTTTTCGAGTTTAAAATTTTCTAATTAGATATGAAAATAGATTTTTAGATAATCTTAAGA